TCCCTGTGGTAACTGTGTGGAAGTCCGGGGGTGGAGAATCGGGGGGGACGGGGTGTTGGTTCAGCAAGATGACAAGAGATGCAGGGGGTTGGGGTCTCAGCAGGACAGCAGGCGGGAGCGTTCCTCCTTCTCAGCTCCAGTCCCCAGTTGCTCTCCATTCTTGGTTTCCTGCCTGGAATCCCCCCCCAGCCAGATTTGCAACCCTGGAATTTTTCTCACACTCCCCCCACCCCGCAGCCTCCGAGCCCAGCCAACCACCGTCTTCCTGTGCTCTCGGCTGTGTGTGAAAGTAACTTCTGCTGACAGCTGGAGGGCTCCAAAAGCAAAATCTCCAAGACTTCTTCCAGAGGGAGGCCTGCCGAGGCTCCGCGTTGGGTGGAAAACAGCCAATTTTGATAAAAGAGAGGAATTAGGGTTTGCGCCAGAGTCGCTCAAGGCGCCCTTGCGGGGCGCTGCGTTCCCCGTTGGCCTGGGGAAGCCGTGGGCATCTCCTCGGGCTTTGCAGATCGGTTCCCACGCTTCTGATCCGGCCCTGGCACAGCACGCTCAGCCAGGGTTGGCTGGTTCAGCACTCTCGGGGTGCTTGCGATCCGCTGAGCCGCAGCCCGGGAGGGCAGCTGAAGTCAGCCCTCAAACAGCGTAGCAGGCAGTGCCAATCGTGTCAGAGCTGATAAGCCATGGTTAATGAAAAGCATGACGTTGCCTCCATCCAGCCCCTCCCTTGCCTCATTCTGCTGTCGCCTAGCACAAGATGCTCTTATTTTAAGCCCCTTGCTCTTAAACGCAATACACAGCTTGGAAGAACCCGTCATCTCTGAATGAGTCACTGTTCTGTGACTCATCAGAACAGCTCAATATCCTGCTTAACAAAGAGGCCAGGGTTGCATTTCTGAAAAGCCCCTAGGCTGGGCACGAGGGCAACAGCTCTGGCTGATCGTGACCTCTCCTTCCCTCCACAACAGACAGACTGCCTCTAAACACGGAGGCTCCATTTACCTCACTTTGTCAACGGCCAGAGCAGGCTAGCAGTTGCAAGGTTAGGATGACCGACACTGGGCTTCATCTTTACGACAACCCTAAGACTGGCTTCTTCAATGGGAATTTGAATCGGGGGGTGGCCTTGTAGGGCCCTTTAAGATCACCTCGCTTGATCTTGCATGGGCCAAACTCGCACGGTTCCTAATCTCTTGATAAGATGCTTCCTTAGCTCCAAATTCTGCCATCGGCCCAGAACATTTGATGTTCTGTTATTTTATTTTTATATTGACTTGGTATTTTCAGAAGCCCCAGACCAGTGAGAAGGATCGGGACACTGAACAGAAAGATACTCTCCTAAGAGGAATTATTGCTATAGTAATCATAAAAAATGAGCCGAGATCATTCTTCAAACGATCGTGCCTTGCTGAATATTTAAACAGCAGATGCATTGCAACCCGTTCACGTCTAACCTGTCTCCCAGTTTCCCAATTTATCTCCCCCATTCACAGGGACTTTGCTGATCTCAGCTTAACTTTAGGCCCAGTTTACAGCATGGCAAAAACCATATAAAGCAAGTTTATTAGGGGCTGTTTCTTCCCTCGTAAAAAAAAAATGCTCCTTTGCTGGCACTATGTTCTTTTTTTTCCCTTTTCTTTTATAGCTTGTTAAGTTCAGTTGCAAATTTCATTTGCTGGATTGGATTCAAGAGGGCAGAAGTGATTGATTGGTGGGTGTGAGACACGGAGGGCGTTAGTCAAGTATATAAGGTAGCTAATAAGCTGAGAATAGAACGGAGGGGGGTAAGGTTACAAAGAGACTATATGCGAGCAGAAAGAATGAACTTAGATGGGACAGAGAGGCTGGGTGGAAGTCGACAGAGAGCGGTTGAGGGAGAATAGTTGGGTTGTGAAAGGTTTCCTGCCCAAGAAAACCTTTTAACCCATACAATAGAAAGGAAAACGTGTCCTAATGTTTAGCCACGTTCTCCTTCTTGATGGAGAAATCAGCTCAGAAGGAAAGGATGAAGACTAATCACTTCCAGCGCAGGAAGTTTGCCTGGCTCCTGACCCTAGGACCCCGCGAGCTATTTTCGGCCCCCTTCTCCACCCCGCAATTTCCATCCTGCAAGATGGGCCTTCGTGTTCCTGCCATTCAGGAACCGTTCAGGGAAACAGATGGGGCTGTCTGAACCGGGCAGGAAAGCTACAGGGGAAATGGGTGTGCCCAGATCTATGCGTCCCTCGCTTCCTCCGTGATCCTGGGGGACACCAGGAAAACAGAAGCCAGCAAACCCAGGTTGAGTCAAAGCAAAAAGACCCTGATTGTCACCGAGGTTACGACTGCTCCAAGCACCGCTGTTTACAAATAGTTTAGAAGACACCATCTCTTCTATAATTTCTTTTTTTAATGTTCAAATCACTCTTTCTAGAAGTCTCAAAGGTGAGAATATTCCCACTTCGGGGCACCCACCATACTGACATTCCTAAAAGATGCTTGTGCATAATCACGGCACTCAACCAATATTGACTTAAACCCCTCGCTAGACGGCCAGGCAGGTTCGTATTATTTTGGAACAATAGTATCGGCCTCCTCGACAGGGTTGCTGTAGCACGGATTGAGAGAACGTGCTATACCCGGTGTCCTGAATTCTCCAAAGAGGTAGATGAACAGTGGGTCTTGGAAAGAGTGCAATCTGTGATTCAGAGTCACGAGCAAAATGCCCCACGATGCAATACTAACGTGATGATGACGATGACGATGTCAATGCACGGAACGAAAAGGCTTTCAATGAATTCTTAACTGGGGTTTCGAAAGCGATGCAGCTCAAAACTAGAGGGAATATTCATTGATGGAAGCGTGCCAGTCTCCTGTTGGTTGACGCTAGTCACATCCCTTCGTCTAAGCTTCAACTAAATGGCCGGAATTTCGGCTGACCCTGCCCGTTTACAACGTTGCTCTTTTTTTTCTAGGCACTCCGAGGGACTAGAATCTTCAAGCGAATATGTGAAGGTAGGAACCGTCTTTCTCCTTCTCCTCTTAGGTAACCTGGGATTCTAGGGGGTATGACTCTTTCAGATGCCCCAAACCTGCCCCTTCTTCCAAGGAGCGAGCTTCGATGCCCACCCCTCATTTGTTCAGCTTAAACCTCTTGCATTTTTGACTCCCCTCGGGTGATTTTTATCCCATCACCGTAGGCAGGAAGATTGCGCCACACGCGCGTGCATGCCCTCCTGACCACCGTTGCACAAGGATTTTTTTGCCGAATGGCTGCTGCTTTAGCCCGTGTCACAGTAGTCATTGCGTGGCAAGTTGGGGGGGGGGCAACTTTGGCAGCCCACAGAGCACCCACCCTGACAGAAGAGCGAAGTAGGGGGCATAAATGTTGCAGAAGGACATAAAGACGGGCAGGAGTGGGTTGGAAGAGGGAAAGTTCAGTCGATAGAAAATGCTGATTATTGGAAAGGGAATGACAGAAAACCGGGTGAGTACGTGGGGAGAGGGGAAAATAAATGCAATATAGTGGGAAAGACAGATTGATACGGGGAAAAGTGCAACCCAGATTCTAGGTGGGAGAAAAACTGCTTGCCAAACATGCCCACTCTAATAATAACTCTAGACGATAATATATATCAGCTGAAACATGCTTGAAAGCGCATATGGATTTCCGTGCAGACCTTTTCCCCCTCTGAATTTGCAAAGTGATTTGGGAATGGGCTGGAAAAACACAGGGTCTGGCGGCTGAAGGGAACAGAAACAAATCCCCGGATTTGCTGGTCCTGGAATTCCTGGGGCCAAAGACACCCTTGTGCTCCGTTGGCCAGCATCAAATGGGCGCAGGCAGAGCCATTTCAAACGCAGCCCAACACTGCAGCGTGTCCTCAGCAAAATATTAACATTCCTGAGAACCGGAGGACCGCTCACTAGCCAAAACCTTGATCCCACTGTTGTGTACGCGGGGAGGTTTCTTGCAGATTAAGGTGGCTGAGAGCCAGGTCCTGCACTGCGTATCTCCTGAAGTTTTTTTTTTTCACATCCTGAAGAGAAGAGAACGGAGGGTTCAAAAGCACCACGCCAGGCTTCCCCAAAGCTGGTGCCCTCCAGATGTGCTGAAACCACAAGACCCAGGATTCCCAGCCTGGGTGCTACCAAAACTCTTGGCAGACTTAGCTTGAGGGCTGTTGAGTGAATTCTGAACGGCCCCGGCGAGGAAGTGCCAACTGCTTGTTTTGACTTGTTCACGTTTCTCATCGAGTCTGGGGCAACATCCAGATGTTTCTGCCGATAGAAAGTTGCGCACTTTCTTCGTTGCACACTTAGATGCATCTGAAGCCTTCATGTGGAGCCTCACGGGTGCCACGGGGTGCTAAAATCCATCCAGTGGATAAATCTGCGCCGTCTATCTTTCCTTCTTCCCACTGTTGATTTCCTCTCTCTCTTTTCCATTGTTCAAAAAACCCCAATTCTTAAACACAGCATAGCAAAATCCCTCCCAACTTCTCATCCCTGCATTGAAGGGCACACCAGTTAGGGTATCTGCCTGTGCCCAGCCCCCTTCCTCCCCTCCAGGAGAGAACAGAAAGAGAGCAAGGGGGGGGACTCAGTTCTGACACGTCTGGACCTTCCCCCCCGGAAAAACCTTGATTATTCTGCCCCACAAAGGCTAGAAGATAGAGCTTCTCTTGCAGCCCATCCCTGCACATGGCACCAGAATAAGCTTTCAGCAGGCATTGCCATCTTCCTCCTCTGTATAGGAAGGTGCTCTGCTCAGCTGTTGCCCAGCATCAACCAGAAGGTGAGAATTCTTCTCCAACCGCTTAGTCCTGCCAACATTCTTCCTGCCTGGCATCTCCTTCCAACACAGCTGCCATCTGTTCTCTCCCTCAGTCCCCAAAACGGGTGGTGGGAGAAGAGCTGGCATCTCTGCTTTTAGCAGGGAAGAACCAAGGGGGCAGAGGGCCACATCCACGGCTCCGGGAAGCTGAGGGCCTCTCTGCAGAGCAACCGGCGGCCCACTCTTTTAACGCCAGAGCTGGAAGCGGGCATTGAACCCCTCCGACTAAGACGTAGCCCTGGTGCGACAGATGGAATTGGGACATTAGGCAAGGAAATTACGATTGCAGCCTCAATGGGAGGAGGGAGGGCGAGCAATTTGCAGCCTGCTCTGGGGACACCAGAAACGAGTCCCCAACACGGCTCGCGCTCAAAACAAGACCGAGCAATGTGACGGCACTCTGAGAAATCATTCTTAGAATCCTTTAGAAATAATTCCAAATCTGTTCTTACGGGCGGCCTGAAAGAGAAGGAAGTGATCCACGAGTCAGGCTTCTTTGGAAGCGGCGGATGGATGACCCCGGCTACCTTTCAGGCACTCCGGCTCGTTGGCCAGAGGTTAAACAGTTTGCTCCACTCCTTCTGCCTTCCTTCTGTATTTTTAGCCATTTAACCCCCCTCCCCAGAAAGGAGGTTATTGAGTTGCTTCCTGGGTGCCAGATTAGACACCACGCGTGGCAGAAACATGATTTTATCATCCACCCGTCAGGCAGCTGGAGATGCTGGCTGATGATAAAAGCGGTGTTAAAATAGGCACATCCCCCTTAAAAATGATGAAAATCCTCAAACTCCCCGCCCCCCGTGTTATGATCCCCTAAGAAAATGTTAAGAGTTGCCTTTGGCCGCCGAAAGGTTATTATACCTGGGGGAGCAAATGGGAAGGCGGGTCCCCTTTTAAGCACCTGGTTGCTGTACAGGTGCTCTGGGGGAATCCTTCGCCGGAGGCATGTTTAATGGAAACGGGAGACAGGCGGCCTTTTCGGGGGCTGCTCCCGGACTGTGGAGCCCCCTGCCCCAGGAAACAAAGCTATCCCTCTCTCTCTCTCTCAGGTAAAGGTAAAAACATACCTACTTAGACGGGCCTTTGATGGGCAGGCAGGTTTTAGCTGCTGAAGTGGGTGGGGTGGGAGGCCCTGAAGCCTCTTCCTAGTTTTAAGTGGGCCTTAATCCCATCATTCCAATTTCTGCCATTAGCTGACCGAAAGGCCGATGAAGACCCCGCCAATTTCTTTAGGGCCCGTCCCAGCCACTTCCAAGTCTGCTGGACTACAGCGCCTGTCTCTCCAGGTGTCTGGCTAAGGATGATGGGCGTTAAAGCCCCACTTTTGGAGGAGAGTGGGTTAAGAAGGCTCGCGCTGGGGAGAAAGACACCCCCCACCCCGTGTAGCTTTTCCAGTTGGTCTGGAATCCCTAACAGAACATTGGAGCAGAAAGTGCCAGAGGCTGGAAAACTCAAAACGTGCTTTGAGACATCCACGTGATGTTTAATGCAGCACTGTGGAGAATCAGCCAAGGGCAAGCCTAGGGTAAACCCTACATTAAGTTTAATGCCTGACATTACGTAGGGGATTTGAAGATGGTAATTGCCGTCCAACGCCAAGGCAGCCGTTCCTGTAACGGCTCCAACCAAGAGGTGGGTGGAGGGGGGCTTGCAAGAAGTTGTGGTGGGGGCCCATCCAAACCTGGCAACGTCTGGAGCTAGCCGAGGGCAAGCTGCATTGATCAGAGGAAAACTTTACAGCCTGCACATCTGAGGAGCTACATGTCAGGAGGAGGAGGAGGAGGAGGAGGAGGGCGGGGAGGAAATGCAGTTCATTTCACTCCGCCCTGAAATGCAATGATAATGAAACAGGGCGGGCGCAGCTTTTCTAGCATTTAAACAAGTTCCCTCTGTTTAATTGTTGCAGTTGGGGACCACGGGGGACTCTGGGAAGAGCCTCCCGTTGCGGAGATCCGCTCTTCAACTTGACCTAGTGTCCGAATGGATAAACAGGGAACAGACCAGCTTTTAGGGTGCTTCTGAACAAAGTTTCTCTTGTGCAACAGCCTTGGCTTGTTTTAAGAAGTGCAGATCCTTCTTTCTAACTTTCCTGTGTTGACTCACAGCATTTTCGGTCTGTTTTTAGGGGCCCCCTCCTCCCGCAGCTCTGTGTGATGCCTTTTGCCTCTGGAAACTTTAAATGCTAGCCAGGGTCGAGTTCATCAGCCCAGAAAGACTGGGGGGGTGGGGGGGGGGGGGGGGGGGGGGGG